AACATGAAAGAGCCTTACGACTAAGACAAATAAACTCATCAGCTGTTGCCGAACACACACATGAAACCGGGCATAAAATTTTATTCTATAACTAAACTAAAACTCTTGCTTGTATCTTAACCGCGACTCATGTCTCCAATATGGAAATCAGTCATCCGAGACAATGTTTATTCAGCTCATTTAGCTCCGCCCCCCTCAAACAATATATAAGCAGGTATGGAGTAAAATGGGAGCCAGTTTCAGTCAAGCTCTGAAGAAGCCAACAGGATGATTGGCGAAACGTCAGCAAGTTCGACTCAGCAAAAACCGATGCAGGAGGAATCCAGAAGTTTTGTAAAAAGACTAAAAACGTCAACTGTTAGAGAAGACTTTTGATCAAAAAATTAGTTCTTGGAGTTACTAGGTGAAATGCAGGTAATGCCCTTATAGTCCTTGAAGGAACATAAAAGTTCAGCTGGCTCAGCAACTCAGGGCAATGAAATGAATGCAAATGAATGGTACTTCCTACGATTCAACATTGAGGAAATCTTAAATATTAGTAATAAACCATTTACATGAAAGTGAAGAAATTTTAGAAACTTTCTCTCTACGTTTTCAATTTGAGTGATGTACTCGCCAAATATTGGTTGCCACACCGTTGAACTGTACTCTAGTTTTGAGCGCACATAACTATAACAGTTTTAAAGTACGTTCCCTTGCAAAATCTCTAGTTTTGTTCACAAATATCATTGCTAAACATTTATCTGTATTCAGGGGTAGGTTATTAAAGGCACACCAAGAACCAATCACCTCCAAATTATTTTGCAGAGACACGCAATCAATTATCTATCAATTATTCTAAACAATTTCACATCATCAAAATTTGACTATCAATATTGGCTACTATATCACAAATCAAAAGCAAGAATATCAGTGGAGCTAAATTGGTCCCCTGGGGAACGCCGCTACTTGGCATGAACCTAAGCGATGAGTAACCGCAGAGCTCCACATACTGTATTCTGTTAGATATGACTTTATGAACGCCACAAAATAATCACAAAATCCCAGCATCCTCAGTTTAGGGAGCAGTACAGTGTGGTCCACCCGGTCAAAGGCTTTTGAAAAGTATTGCATATCCACTACCCTCCCTTCAGTGCTTCGACTTCAACCTTTAAAGAAATCATGTTGTTTGTGGGTTACCAAGAGTTTCATTTGGTTAAAAATATTATCATGCAGCGATATCTCGAAAGCCCTCGCAAAAGGCGATATTATCGATACAGGCCTGTAGTTGGATATATCAGATGCTTTTCTTTTCTTTAGGACGCGAGTAATTCTGGCCTCCTTTCAGACATCTGGGAAGGTGTTTGTTGCTAGGGCTAAGTTAAAAATGAGAGACATGGGTTTAACCAAAGCAAGTGCACAATGTCGCACAACGAAACAAGGAACTTTATCAGGAGGACCACAAAATACTTATTCTTAACTCGTGCTAATGCTCTTAATATAGTTTCATTAGTTAAGTGATCAATAGTAATAAATGCATTAGAAAATCCATTCAACTGAGGGACCTGGTGTTGAGGAATATTGTATACCCCCAAAAAAATTAGCAAAAGCATCAACAATCTCTTCAGGGCTGGGGTAACTGTAAGTAAAAATCTCTGGCAATTCCGTATTTGCACTTAATAAACGACCAGTTAGTTGCTATCGTTTTCAAGCAGATTTGGTGAAGTCGATCTTTTTAGAATATCTCTAAAATATAGATTGTTGCCTACAATAGCCGTTAAATAAATTGGGATTAGTCTCCTCGTTTAACTCCCCAATTTATCGACTTTTAAAAATTCAGTAAACCGAAAATGAAAACTAACCAAAAAACTATTAACTAGAATGTACTGAATAGTGTTTCACTCTGTAGATATTGAAAAACGCTTAATAGCCCCCAATATTGAGTTTTTAAATTATATCTGGTATACCAAATTTCGATCTGTTACTTTCAAAATGTAGGACACTTAAAAAAAACACAGAAGTCGTTAAAATTTGACAACAAAGCGATTTCGGAACCATGTTTGTATGAACTTTTTTCCTCGTTTTGGGCTGCCGAACCACCCCAGTCAACTAGACATATCACTATACGTTTTTCTGACGTCTCTTTTATTCCGAAACGTCGACGAGATCATACTGATTTCGAACAAACGTCGCGGACGCTCCTGCTATACTTAAATGAAATATATTTTTCGTCTGTCTTGTCAAATAGGTTGATATTCCTAAAAATTTTAATGTAGCGAATTGTGTGATTACACTTAAAACTAAAATTAAATTGCGAGACATCTTATGTTTATGAGGTCTTTTCATCAATTACTTTTAACTTAATGGGTAAAGCGTGTGGAAAGAGAACATACCTGACTATTCACGCTATACAGTTTATTGGGTTTAGGTTTAGGTTTATTTATTTAACCACAGTATACAAAATGTACGTGTAGCAAGTCAAGAGAAAATGAACAAATACACATAAAGATAATAAAACTACAAAAGAGACGAAACAAATTTGTAAAAGTAGACGGGTTACACATTTTTAAAATTTAAAATTAAGGTATTCATTAATACTGTTTATTGTCAGTATATTCTTGACAGGCCACTTAAAAGAATTGTTACCAAGGCGTTTTATATTATAAGGTAATTTATTGTAAAATTTCAGATTTAAAGAATTTCTGATGGATTTATTAAGAGGGTATCGCGGAATCATTAACTGGTGTGCATTACGCCTTGCGTAGGAATGATTTACTGAACACAAAAATCATAGTGAATCTCGATTAGGCCATTGCATATGAAAGTAGATGGTAAAGTCTTAATATCAATGCTGGGAAAATGTGTTCTACAGGATTATCGATGTTTCAAACCAAGAAGAATTCGAAGAGCGAAGACGAAACACTAGATCCGCCCCATATGGTGACCCCACATTGCATTTTAAAGTGAAATGAAGCGAAATACACAATTCTCATAATTTGAGTATTAAGGGATTGCTTAAGCTTTCGCAGCATAAACAGTGTAGGTGACAATGATTTGCAGAGGGAGTCAAATGAACAGACGCATTTAATCTATGGTCAATAGTGATACCAAGCAGAGTGAATATTAACATTTGAGGAAACTAAAAGGTTTTGGGTTTTATATCGGTTCAAAAGCAAGTCATTTACCGCAAATCAAGATCGCGCCGGCTACTGGGCAATATGCTTCTACTGTTCAGTTCGTCTAGAGACGAACTTCCGGAGATAATTGTGGTGTTGCCTGCACTTGATATGTGCAAATCATTTATATAAATGAGAAAAAGAAGCAGACCCAAAACCGATTCTTGCGGGACACCGACGGTGGCGACGGCGATGAGTAAAATACGATTGGAAGAAATATGTCAAAAATATAAATTTTCGGGTAAAAAACCCCACTGTTCGTTAGCAAAAAATTAAATTTTTAGCAAGTAGTCTAACAGCAATTGTTTAAGTATAATTTCAAAAATCTTGCCAAAAATAGGCAATATTGAAATAATACGGTGGTTGTTTACATCATATTTACTGCCTTTTTTGAACAGTGGAACCACTTCTGCACTGCTAAATTTATCTGGGAAAGTACTGGAGGCTGTGACCAAAATACCAAAACGGTCTTCAAAGTGTCAAAAATATCAAGATTATACATTTTTTAACTGTAGCCCCTGTATATTATACCATCTTTAGACCTAATCCTTAAGTATTGTTAAATAAAAAGTAACTTTAATCGTTATCGATATCAAATCTTTACTAAGTTACTGCAGATATGTCGTAAAACTCTTTTCGCATTTCCATCGCAGCTTGCTCGCCTGTACAAGATGGCGCGATTCAATTGAAAATTCAACTTGCTTTTTATATGCTACCACCATCAATTTATTTTGTAATCACGGATCTAGGATGTTCAGAGGAAACAAAACAGTACGGAAATTAGGGTCCACATTTAAAACATGAGTATTGTTAACTGTTTGTCGAAAACGAAAAGTCGTAGATAAAATTTAAATACATGCTACAAGAATTTTTTTCTGAAAACGCCAAAAAATGACAAGCAAATACATATATTGGGCGCCAACCAAGACTATGTGATATTTTTGTATTTTAACCAATCAAGCAAAAATCCAATTAATCAATTGTTTCTAAAGGTTTAACAGTTGGTAATTATTAAGTCCCATTTTATTTCCAGAGTTACAATGATTAGTTAATTAGAAAAACATATTAAGCAGTAAAGATAGATCAGCAACAAGTTGTCTTACCCAAAAAGACTGTGAAGTGTTTAGGAGTCATTCTAAATAGCAGTTTAAGCTGCGTTGACCACACTGAAACAGTTAGTAAGAAACTATACAGCCTTTATTATGTTCTTTTAAACCTCAAACATGCTGTTGATGAGCAAGGGTTATTGCAGTTATGAAAAATCACCTCAATACGCAAGATGTTTCATTTTAAATATATTACCTCCAGAGCTGCGAGAGACTATCAATTTTTCCGCTTTTAAAGAAAATTGAAAGCGATTCTGACAACAGAGGGATTTTATACCCTAAATGAATTTAAAGAGTACTTTTCGGAGACATAGCAAGCATTTCACATACAGTTAATGTACTTTTAAATTATGTATGTGTTTAATTTATGCCTGTGCTAGAATTTTGTAAAATTGTAATGCATTTTATAAATTTTTTAATTTAATTTTTTTCTTTGGTCCTTGATTTATCATGTAATTATATTATATGGATCGATAAGACATCATTAACATCATCAGTCAGGAGCCGGCACAGAGAAACACGCGGTGTACGTCGACTGATAAACGAGCCAATTAAATAGTGACGATCGCGAGCGTTTCGCGACATTAAATATGCCGCGATACAAACTAATTCCGAGTCGAAAAACGTTCATTAAGGGGACCTCCTTCCGTTTCTTGCGGGGGTTAGTTAAGGGGAATCGAGACTGCGCCCTCTGGAGTCGGAGCCGCACTCGTCAAATCAGCCACAGTTCGTCCGCGTCCTTTGTTCTGTGTTGCACCCTCCGGCTCCGTGCCGGCCGAACGTTCGCGAGCTTTTCAAATTCTTTCGAAAGTTTCGCACTTTATGGTCCTTCGAAGGCGCGTTTAAGCGTGGACTTGTGGGATTATCTTCTATGATCAGATGTTGTAATGTACGCGACTTTTATTAATTATTTATGTCGATTAATGTGTCTGCGAACTTTAATTGCCAAACTTTTGGTTGGTTATTTTGAGACGATCCGCGCGGCAAAATTTTGGCATTTATCGATTTATGATAATTTTTGTTAATTTTATTAATGCAGGTTTTAAAAACTACAAGCATATTAAATTTTAAAACGAAAATTAATGTGGAAAAATTTACCACCTCTCCATTAAGTGTAAAAGATCGTTGTACGCGATTTTTTTTTAAATTTATATAAGGGAATGCTAAATCATCAGGTTTCAGTAAGATAATGTGTATATATTTATCATTTATTTAGATCATTAAAGGGTATACTTACAATATCGGAAAAAGAACAGTTTCATATTAAAAGTAAATGAAATTCCCGATATACAGGGTAGATATTTTGTACGATAATATTGCAGGAAATAAAATGGTAGCGATTTTTAAGTCCTAAACAATTTTGAATTTGCGCGGGAAAATGTAATTAAAGTTGAAAGTATAGATATGTATTTAGTTCCAACGATTTTATCAAGAACCCACATTAAATCAACTTTTTCAAGAACTTGCAGATACAACTGTAGAAGCTCGCAATGAGGAAATCAGTTTGGATCCGATATTTGGCTTACGTTTAAAAAATGTCAACAAGCTAACATAATTATTAATATTCCCTAAGTAGGCCTCAGCAGGCACGTTGTTTTTCCTCTAGAAAACTCAAAAATGAAAATGAACAATTTATTCCCACTTTTCCCCTTTTTAATTTTAGGATGATGGACTCTTCTTTGACGACCACATATATCTTGAATATATTAGTCATTTAATTCAAAAGTCAAAATTAAATAGTCTTAAAAAAACAATAGTCCATAAAAGCAATCAAAATAAAACATTCAAATAGAGATCTGATTTGGCAAAACTACAAACACTGCGGAGTCATGATATCAATAATAATTATTTACAAAATGTTACACGTGTTTCGCCCACACGGGCACGATCAAAAGAATAAAAAAATATCCTAAATTAATTTAAATGCTTGATTTAACTGAGATTTAACTAACCAAACCAATCAAATTACACAATAAAACAATAATAATATAGATGTTACAATTAACAGCAAAAAAAGAAAGAAAACTAACAAAACATTACAGAATTTGTTGTACACTTGCACTGTGAAATATTTTAAAAGTAAATCAAGATGGTTCTCCAATATCCCTTTAAATGGCGAAATATTCAACTTACAACAAAACAAATTGTTCTGGATTTCTCCTACGTAGAGTGTCGACTGTTAGTTTCAGACAGCTCTGTCAAGAAGCAAAAAAGCAAAGGCAAGAAGTTAGCGAGACAGAGTACGGTCCACAAAGTCCTTAAAGTTTAAGTATTTTTGAATCAAAACCTCTAATATTACGTAACAATATAGAAAATTTGATAGTTAACAGAAACAAATTTAAGAATGCAAGTATAACTCTTTAAAGTTGATGTCAACATACACAATTAAAACGAATGTAAAAGAAAGGGAATTAGTTACATAGCTTTAGAATCGCCGCCATTAAAGACAATAACTACTTGTCAAATATATACTGTAAAAACAAACTTTAAAAAAGACCTTGTGTCTAACATTAATAGGAAATATGCCTACCACGCTTAACAATAGAAAAATCAATTTCTCTCAATATTCGCAAAACAAATCAAAAAGGACACGTGACAAGTTTAAAGGGAAGTTGTGCCGCACAGACTGGTTACCGTAAAAGTCACGACAGGTCAGTAGACCTTCCCAATCGGTATCTCTATTTCACTGATTAAACAAATGGTTATTCGTGTATCCGGACATTTTAAATTTTGTACCAACGAATTGATGTTAATGGATTTTTAATATGACAGTGATACGTAATGTCCATGCGGGCGCAAACGTTGAATACTAAAACCGTCCAATTTAAAACCTCAATCGTTCGTAAAATTGTTAATATTTAACCGCCTGCGGGGAAAACTGGAGGCGTCTTAAATTTCCGGCCCGAGATGAAGTATTCCTTTCGTCTGTTCGTATTTAAAGTAATACGTTTTCAATTTTGGAGATTCGATTGGACGTAAACGCACACATAGCTGGGAAGCTTTTTATTCCACCCGAAATGAGATCCGTTATAAATGGGGAACGATAATGATGGAAATATTTTCTTCTGCTACGTTACTTGTCATTTTTTTAAATGGGATTTTTTTTCACATTTACTTATATAATAATTGCGAACGTTAAAAGATGACGTTGTGTTCAAAACTTTTAAACTAGCAATAAATGAAGTACCTAAAACCGCATCAAAACTGCAAATATCAGCTTAAACTATCAATTTTTGATCCAAAAAGTTACATATTCATGTCAATATCTTTCAAATACTAGCCAAAATTGGCGTCTTTAAGCATTATAGTAGAGAAAATCTTTATAAACCATTAAATATCGGTGTAAAACCCCCTTACTGAGTCAAATAGTTGCCGATTTCGATAAGATCCCTGCCAGAATCTGCTTTTTCGCCTCTTAATGCACCCAAATCTACCTTACAAAAGCAGATATGTACTTAAAAACCCTCTTTTTGGGAGAAATAATTGGTTTTCGCTCTCGATTTCGAGCAGATTATAGTTAAAACCTGCATTTTTATAACTTTCCGTTCTCAAATCTACATTAAAACTGCAGATAAGTACTTAAAAAACCGCTTACTTGGATTTATAGTTGGTTTTTCTTCCTGATTTCAAATAGATTCCAGTCAAAATCGGCTAATCCGACGCATATGGAACCTAAAAAAACTTCAAAACTGCAGATATCAGCTCAAACTATCATTTTTTGATCCAAACAGTTACCTTCTGATGTCAATATTTTTCAAATATTAGTCAAAATTTACTTCTTCGGCCTTTATTGTTACGAAAACGTTAATAAACCGTCTGGAATATCTCCCAATTTTTGATTTCCGGCGACCAATTATCAAACCAAATTATGGAAATTCCTGTCCAAAAACGTCCTAGCCTCACAATAATTTGTTGATCGGTCCCTTTCAATTCATTCTTAATATTACCACCAGCCACCTTTTACTTTGGTCGTAAAATTTTCAAGTCTACTTGCTCTGGAGCTGTAAGCGAAGATTTGTGTTATTTAACTAATTCTGTTAGCAGGTCTCTGGTAGCAGGACCAGACACAGCCATTTTATTATAATACTATAACAAATGCGATCTCACTAAAAAGGCGCTTCCGACCATTTAAAACAATTATAGTAAACATGTTTTACTTGAAATAAAGCAAAATTAATAAAAACAAGAGTTAAATTAAAACAACGAAATATTTTTCAATTTAACAATTGGGTATTTTGAGCAAATACTTAAAGCAATACAACGCACGGTAGTAGCTGAATTGCGAATATTTAGTATGTACTCATAAAAGGGGTCCTTGGTAGAAATAAATGAATAATTTTATATCTCTCGTTACAGCTTGCGAACAATGTGCCAAAAGAATTGCGTCAATCAATCCATAAGAACAAATCAAAACAAATATTGTTAAAAAATAAATTCGCTGAAGACCAAAAAAAAAATGTAGCCGATTATGCGAGCCTCTTTAAGAAATAAACAGGAATGAAATTTTACATTGACAATTTTAAACGTAATTTTAAGGATAATTATTATCACTTATTTATTTTGATTTTTGTTTTATAACGTTTTTAGCATTTAGGTAGCTGGTTTAAAAACAAACATGCTTCTGATATTTAAACGAATAGCAATGTTCGGCACAATAAAACAATTTCCCGTACAATACAAATATCAAGTCACAAATCATAATTTACTTACAGTGGGAACATGTTTCAGTCCCTACTTCTGATGTTAAAATTTTTTGTTTAAATGTAACAGGTTGCCGTATACAACATTTCGATAATTAACTATCGCAACCACAGTAGCATTACTTCACTCGAGAGGTAGATGTTGAATGTCAATTCAACGCGCCGACCGAAGGTTGTCGTGGATGTGTAATTTTTGCGGACAAAATATGACTCACTTTGTTCCGACGTCTAAAATCTAGAATACTGATATATTATGTAATATATATGCAATATAATACGGCAATTTTCAGGGTCTTTTAGATTTTTTGGCCATAACCGATACACCCTGTACATAATCGAGAAAATTACAGAATTTAAGATTAAAGCCCTGGATCTTCCACATTTCATGGTATATGAAGTTTTAAAATACAGCAAATGGTTTTCGAGAGAATAATATTTATTTGAAGCTTTATGATTATCTGTGGACAAAACATGGTCCTAAACTGAATTTGTTATTGTTGTCTTCTTCTTCTTCTATCTTGGATGTACCAGATAAATGGAACTCTGATTGCTTCTCTATTTCTAAATATGTTTCCATGTTCAGTAAGGCTTCTGCAAATTCAAAATTAACTATTAGGTACCGTTTCTTGTTAGTCTCTAGGGTCCGGAAAAAAGAATGTTGATTTGACTGACTTTTCATTAATCATAGTTTCAATCATTATTACTTAAATTTTTGTGCTTCTTGTCCGTATGTGACTGCTTAACCGAGGCAAACTTATTCTCTTGTCTGGTGGTCAACATATGTTTAACTACATCGGGTCTATTAACCACTATATTACTCTCGTTTGATATGTAACCTTCTTCTTGCTACACCAAACCATTTTTTCTTTTTATGTAACCAAATGCATTGAATTCTTTTTTGAATAATTTGCACAACCGACTCACACCGCGCACCCTCTTGAACTCAATATATTAAATTCAAGCCTTTTATTTGACAAATGCACGACACTATGTTGATAAACAGCTGAAACAAATGAAAACGGACACGGACGTCATGTTTTCTGTTGGTTATTTTTAATTTAAAATTTTATAACGATTTTTTAAGTTAATTTCATGGTCACTATGGCTTACTAGACAGCAGGGTCTATTAATTTTTGTAAAATCTGAAACATAGTGGAACTTCCGATTGGAAAGGTGAATAAGTGTTTTT